CCCCGAACACAACCGTGGGCGTGGAGTTCGAAACACTGTTTGAATTTGTAGATAGCTGAAGATAGTGGCTGAGCTGTTGTTGGCCGTAAACATCTGTGGTCATTTGTAGAAAGCAGAAACCTTTAGCATGTCATATGTTTAAAGCAGAAGTACTGCAAGCCAGTGGTTTGCGGCAGAAAGCAGGAACAAGCTGATGAGTTTAGAGGTGGCAATTTGAGTCAACTTAAAATCAACTCTCATGCCATATGAGTAATTTTCATGCTATGTCATTTATTCAGAAAATTTGATTTATGTGTAGCATTTTCAAATGATTGAATCTAGCAGAAGAGAGATAATAAAATATCTGTAAAAGAAGAAAAGAAAAAAAATACAGGGTGAAAAGGTAGATTTAAAAGAAAACTAGATTAAAGACGGAGGGTTAGGATTAAATCACCCATCAATGGAACAGGAAAGATCATGGTTTATATAGCTTTCCTGTGATACCTTTTGAAGATGTGGATTCGTTGTTGTGTAGTCACACATATAGGTGTCGATCCTGTTTCCTTTCCATACTACTTGATATCTGAATCTTATTTCCTTCTACTAATGGTACTTAATTTTGGAATTTACTAAACTGGAATCTCGGACTACGTTTACTTAATTCTGCTCTTACCTAATTCAGAAACTGTTGAAATAAATATTTATGAAGTTTTGCAAGCTTTCAGCAGTTGTAGTTTCCTAGAATAGTCGGTGTGTAGGACCAAGGCTGGTGATGATGAATTTGCAACTGCTTCTTTTTTATATGGCCTTGCAAGCTCAGGATTGACTTAAACTTTAGTATCATACTGCTTCGAGAATGTTGTTGTCTGTTCTGACTGAATTTGCAGATGCTAATTAAGTTTCTGCGATGGTGCATAATTTTACTCACAAGTCACTGAATCTGTGATTGTGTTTGTTCATATGTAATGGAAACTTCTTTAAACACTTTGTAGGACACAAGCGGGGAGGCATCTGAAGATCAACTCACAGTAATTGAAGCGCCCCACCAATCTGATTTGATGATAGAGCTTATAAGGAAGCTAAAGCCACAGGTGGTGATTACTGGAATGGCCCAATTTGAGGTCATTACCAGTTCATCTTTTGTACACCTGTTGGATGTTACAAGAGAAATTGGATCCCGTCTTTTCTTGGATATATCAGATCACTTTGAGTTGTCTAGCCTCCCAGCATCCAATGGTGTACTGAAATATCTTGCAGAAAACCCTATGCCTTCTCATGCAGCAATAGTTTGTGGTTTGGTTAAGAATAAGGTACGGTTTTCTTGCAACCAGGAATAACTGCTTGAGTATGCATTCTGTTACTTGATCAGATTCAGGTCAAATCAACATCTGATGATTTTTATGACATATTAATATATCTTGTTATCTGATATTTTATGTATTAAACCACCATGATACAGGTTTATTCAGATTTAGAAGTAGCCTTTATCATTTCAGAAGATAGTGGTATTTGTGAGGCCTTCTCCAAAACAGTGGAAGTCTTGGAAGGTCATACTGCTATTATCAGTCAATACTATTACGGTTGCCTTTTCCATGAGCTTCTAGCTTTCCAGCTCACTGATCGCCGTCCACAGGCAGAGGTATCTAGGTTCTTTTTCCAGGTTATATAGTAGTTTTGCTCATTTGCTATTGGGTATTTTAAATACATAAGTGAGCTAACCTTTGCCCAAGACTGAACCCTGGATTGAGAAACGTATTCTTGGAAAGGTGGGTAAATCCTACCAAAAACAGGTGAAAAGCATGTGTAAGATTCATATTTAGTCTTGCAGTTAAATACTTAAAAAAAATTTACAATAGGTTCAGAACAACTTTTGAATACCTTTGTTTATGTAAAAAAAAAAACTGTTTAAATGGATAGCGTAATGTAAGCTATTAAAAGTTATTTCCCCCATACTGATAAAGCGGTCAAACCAAGCTTCATCCCTTCTTTTTTGTGTTAATATTTGCTTGGTTTGAAGTGGCCTATGTACACTGACAAACGTAGCATTTCCTGTAGTTCCTGAAGACGGACCTTGTTCTCATTTTTGTGATCTGTCTATATCAATGTCAATATGTATTGTTCTGATTATAAATTGATTTTCCTGATTTACAGAGAGGGAGTGAGAAGATAAATTCTGGTGAGATAATTGGATTTTCTAGCTCAGCTGTCTCTGTTCTAAAAGATGCTGAGCTTTCTGTCGCCGGAATGGAGAACTCTTCCATGATCCATATGGATGTAGATCAAAATTTCTTGCCTATACCACGATCTGTTAAGGCTGCAATCTTTGAAAGTTTTGTGAGGCAGAATATATCCGAAGCTGAAGTTGATGTGACCCCGAGTATTAAACAGTTCGTTCACAGTACTTACGGCTTTCCAACTGGACGCAGCACCGGATTTATTTATGCTGATTGCTCACAAGCTCTATTCAATAAGCTGGTCCTTTGTTGCGCTCAAGAAGGAGGAACATTTTGTTTACCTGCTGGGTCAAATGGGATATACATGGCTTCTGCTAAATTTTTGAGAGCAAATGTCATGAACATCCTGACAGAATCGAAAGATGGCTTTAAGGTGACAGCGAAGGCACTTAGTAAAGTGCTTGAAACTGTGAAGAAGCCATGGGTTTGTATATCTGGACCAACAGTTAATTCAACAGGCATGATTTACAGCAACGAGGAGATGGAAGTATTGTTGTCCACATGTGCCAAATTTGGAGCAAGGGTTATTATTGATACTTCATTTTCCGGATTAGAATACAATTCCACTAGCTGGGGAAAGTGGAATTTGGAGAACATTTTATCGAAATTGCATTCATCAATCCACCCATCGTTCTCTGTTTCCCTTCTGGGATGCCTTTCTTTGAATTTGCTCAGTGGAGCGCTCAAACTTGGCTATGTTGTTTTGGCTCAATCTCTCGTTGATGCCTTCCATACCCTCCCGGGCTTGAGCAAACCTCACAGCACTGTCAAGTATGCCATTAAGAAGCTCTTGGCTCTTAAAGAAGAGAAAGCCGGTGAACTTCTGAATTCCATTGCAGAAAATGTGAACACATTGGAGAGCAGATCTAAGCGCTTAAAGGAGGTAACATTTTCTGCCTCTGTGCCTTTTGCATCACCAAATTAGGATAACTTATGGACAATGTACGGTCGGATTTCCAGATTTGAACATATACCCATTATGGTAGATTAGCATGGGCTTCGACATTTCGTTCTCATTATGATGACAAATCGAGCATATGCTTTACAATGACAATTTAATCTAGTACAAGTCTTCATCCTCAAACCATTCACGAACTACTTAGATCACACCCTATTTAGCAAGTGGAAAATCTACCAGTTTCTTTTCCACTGTGAACATCTTCATACAGTGAAGAGGCCTATGATCGTTTCTTTATAGCTGGGGTTTCCTTGCGTGGAACTGTACACAGTCTCCTGTTTCCCTTGGTCCTGACTGCCATCTCTTAATCTTCTACCTTTTTTCAACTTCCGAGCAGGTACTTGAAAACTCCGGCTGGGAAGTTCTCTGTCCCTTGGGTGGCATTTCGATGGTGGCAAAACCGAAAGCTTATCTTAACAAAACCGTGAAGGTGAAGCAGCAAATGCCAAAACCAGGAGAATCACCCATAGAACAGGAAGTCAAGCTCGAGGATTCCAATATCCGGGATGCATTTCTCAAGCATACCGGCATCTGCATAAACAGCGGCACCTGGACTGGAATCCCAGGCTACTGCCGCTTTTCTTTTGCATTGGAGGACAGCGAGTTCGAAAAGGCTATTGAGTTGATTTCTCAATTCAAAAACGTTCTCGGTTGTTGAAGTTCCAAAGCCCGAGTGCAGGTTTCCGGGTGTGACGTTGTCATGATTGAAAGGCATTATACAATAATGGGTTCTCGAATGGAGTTCACGGGCGAATTCGTTGTTCTTGCTTTGCCCTTGTTCAGTTCCTTCAAATAATGTGTGCCCGTCGTTCATGGCTAAGATTCTTGACAGGGAACAATTGCATGCTTTTGATGCAACATTAAAATCCACAAGATTATGAGAATGTCTGCAATTATTGTCCATCAGCAGTAATTATTTCTTGATTTTTATCTGATAAATTCTCTACTCATAAAAAAAAATCCCCAAAACACGCATCATGATACTATACATATATATAGAAAAATCTTATATCATCTCCTCATTTGTTGCAACACCTCCATATAGAAGGTTTTATGTGACCGCAAGGAGGGATTAATGGATAGAGTCGGGTTATAACTTGTAACCTAAGTTATCTGCACAAAACAAGACATCAAGTGCCTCACCATCCAAAAACGACATACGATGTCATTTATTTTCCACATCATGCCACTAAACAAAGGCACGTCATTCAAACAAACCCATCATGCTGAAAAGTAATTATATTTAATTGAATTTTAAAATAGGATCTGAATAAATAAGAAAGCCAAAAAAAGGACAGAAAGTTTCCACTATGAAGAAAAGTCAAAATAATGCAAAATTTATTTACTTTGGTCCACAAATTGTCAGTCCAAAAACAACAATAAAACTAAAAATAAAAAAATAATTCAGAAGCTTCGACCCCACTAGAAAAATTTAATAATTCAGAAGCTTCGATCTCACTAGAACCTCTTCAAATTGCTATCATCGTAAAACAAAAAAAAAAAAGATTCCAAATAAAATTATCCAATTATGACTTAACAACTTTATTGTTAAAAAAATTATGACTTAACAACTTTTATTGTTAAAAAGATTCTCATTTTTCAAATGGAAATGAGATCGACTCGGTTTAGTTCTTGTTCGAAAACAATTTTTATCGTTAAAAATATTCTCATTTTTCAAACAAACTTTAAATATTCTGTTTTTCTGTTTATTTTTTTATACGATTCAGTTCAGATTCAATTGTATTGATTTTTTTTAAAAATATATATAATCATTCGTTTTTTATATATATTATTGGGATCAGGTAGCCTCGTTTTGTAATCAACCAACCACCTCAAAACATCATTTACAGAACATAAAATCGTTGATTAATCACAGAAACCAAATCTGTACCACTTTCCAACACCCGAGATATAGACGAAACTGAAGAGGATCACCAAACAAATGTGAAATTCGATCACGGCATGCATAAAGGTCGTATCTGACTTGACATAATAAAACAAAATAGCTAGCGAGAAAAAGATTCATCACTGACCTCTAATGTACAATGGAAATGGAAGCATTGGTTGGTTCAATAGCTTCCGTGAGATCTGACGGATGAAACAGACTGGGCCGAGAGGGAGGCGGTCGGGCTGTTGAGTTCTCCGTTGTTGGCTTTCGGCTTTCCGCTTAACCTTTCCATCGCATCCAAACATATCTCGTTGAACCAGTCATCTTCCGGGAGCTCGCTGCAGAGATTACCATAGAAGTTTGGTTCGTCATGAAGCAAGAAACTGCAGAAAGCTTAGAGATAAGAAGTTAAGATACCTGTATGGGTCCATCCCTGTTGCAGCTAAAGCGGCCACGGCTTTAGAAATTATCTCATTAGTGCCACGGTGCAAATTTCTCGATAGGTAGCGACCTTGGGATGCGAAGCAGATGACGAACTTCATGTCCAAGTACAACTGAGAGAGATGCAGCATCGTTAGATATGTCGAGTTTTCGACACGGATATATTATATAGAGGCCGTAACAAGTTGTTGAACCTGTCGTAGGCCAAGAGGTCCCAAAGGTCTAGGACCATCCTCGATGTCATCCCAGAAACTCTGGTCTCCGGAAAGCCATAGGATCACAGTCTCTGTCAGTCTCATCAACAACGACGTCGCGAATCTTTCTCTTCCTACAAACATATCCGCAGCAAGACTCGCCATCCTTTGAAGTTTCGTAAAAAGCTCCTGTTTTGATGACAGAAATAACAGGAATATGAAGCAAACAGTCTTTTTAATAGCATAATTGTGACGTCGACAATTTCAGAGATGGAAACCACACTTGCCTGGAATATCAGAGACGGGAACCATTCAATATCATCAGTATCTCCGTCCATACTTATATACATCTCAGCAGACAAATGGCTTTCTCCTTCCTCGGAAAAAATGAGGTCTAAGGCGTGCTGGCGACAGAAAGCATCTTTTAGTTTGTCGACTGTACTCAATAAGCGTCTCTTCCATTCCCGTTGTTCCGGATTACGATTTTGTCTATCTGAAGGCCTCCTTCGCTCATCTGTTTTATAACTACTCTGATCGAGAGGAGAGAGCTTCATGGCGGCACGTGGGAGAAGTTCATCCGCTAGCAACGATGCATTTGCAAGTAATGCAAGTTGCTGGGCTTCTGTCTCAGCCATTCGGACAATCTTATTTCCTGATGCTTCGAAGTTTGCCTCTTCTTCTTCTATTGAACCGGGCAATGCTCTTATAAGCACGTTTACATATGAGTGGAAAACTTGAAATAGACCTTCAAGGGCTTTACTTCCAAGCTGCATACTTAGAAGAGGTCCTACGTCCTCAAAGAAGTCCTACAAGAGAAATTAATTACCGTCATTGAAGAAGCTGTATCAGTGTAAATGACACATTACCAAATATCTCCAGCTGTCATAAAGACGACTGACAGCACTTACCTACCTGACATGCCAAAGATAGCTTAAAACCAGGGGCTCCATAAAATAGAAAAATAATTTTAACGCACATGCATTTGACACAAATTTCAGGACATGCCATCAAACAGTGCAAGTTTAAACCAAATCTTCATACATGAAAACTAGTAATTTAGTAACTCAAGTGCTAAATTCATTGTTAAGCCAAGTAAAAAAGGAGTACCAGAACCATTATTTCTACAACTGCGATGGGATACTTTAAACTTAGACAGACAGAAGCAATGGCTAAGAACGACTGACAAGTCCAACTACCATGTCTGTATCTCCTATATACTATTACCTAGCATATTTGTATAGAAACCAAAGTCCCAAAGCAAATAAAAGTTGCAGCAAGGTATGCCCATTAGCAAACTATAGTTGACCAACACTTATAAAGCAAGTTGCCCCCTTTTTTTGGAAAGTAAATGATATAAAGCACGTTGCTTACCTGAACCATCAGATTAAACCGGTGAGCACTTGGTGTAAGCTTATTCTGAAATGCTGTACTAGCATGACGACTGCCAGCTGGAGGATATGTCAGCACCCAATCGTCTGCAGCAGCCATAGCCGCAGTGCTTTCTTCAATTCGTTTTAAATTGGCTTCCAGTGCCTGTTCAACAATAGGCTTAAAATGCTTTAAAAGCACAGGACAAAGAGACAAGCCACGACCTTCTAACAAAGTACAATGCCCTAGAGCTATCTGTGCACACTCTGCAGCAGCTCTTAGTCCTCCAGCTGCTGCAGAAGAACCTAATGCATGTCTTTTAACAAGAAGGGCAAAAGCTTCTGTTTGTTTTGTCGCCCAAGTCACAAGCTCAGAAGTATAAGCTGGCTCTTTCCCAAATATTAATAATGAATCACTGGACGCTTGAGAAATAGCTGAAAACACAAGCTGAGAGAGAGCAGCAGTATATGCTCCCCCATATGAAGTGCTGGATGGACGAAGACTTTGCAAGTTGTACTGGTATCTCTGGAAGTGGGCATTAAGAAGCAAAGTATGGGCTCGAGGGCCATCTCCAAGCCTTTTGAGAGCTGATATAGCTGACCGAAGTTCACCACCTCGGGTTGAAGGTTGACAAGCAGCTTCAGCAAGCTGGTCGGCCAACTTTTGCTTGCGTTCCACAATAGCAAAGTGAAAAGATGAAAGAGTAGAAGAGCTCAAGGTGCCCTTTTCTTTTTGTTGAGAAATTATACTTTCTCCTTCATCAAAAGCTGCCAGAGCTTCATCTACCCGCCTTTCAGCTAACAAAACATCAAGGTGGTCGGGAAATTCTGCAGCCCATTTCTCCAAATCTGAGAGCTCCTTGTCTTCAAAACTTAACACACCATTTCCAACGGATTCATCAGATACTTTATCAAAGTCTATGTTAACTCCATCGGCTAAGCCATGAATTAGAGTAGCCTGAGTAGATAGCAGATTTCTGATTGATGATAACTCTCCCTCCAAATCTGATATCTCTTTCGATGTGCTGGACAGAACAAGAATTATCAAAACCATATATAATAACTCGGAAACAAGAAAAACATGATGACAATAGTAACATAACAAAAAAAACACCTTCGCAACATTCAAAATCAGATAAACTTGCCAGCACGAAGAACTCATAGATAAAATGCACTAGTACTCTAATACCCTAATGAATAAGAAAGTCACATTTTGCGAAGGGAGATCTCTTTAGTCATATTAACTTTGGCAGAGTAGCAATTGGTGGAACAGAATATAAAAAATAGTATCATTATTAGGGTCATGAGGGACAACCACCAAAACCAGTGAGGATACCGACTAACCGTATAAAAGCCGAATAATTAGCATAAACGCTTCGGCGCATCTCTTCTGCAGATGCTCTCTTCAAATCCAGAAGATAAGAGCATAACTGCTTTATATCCTGTAAACAGAAGCAGAACTATATTACAAACCGCAAAGTGCCAACTGAAGAACATAAACCCAGAAAATGAAAAGTAAAACAAAAACAACCCATTGCTCCGTCCGCTAAATAACCTTTATGCCTATGGCAAGCAGATTGTGCAACATTTGGTTTTCAGGAAGCTAGAAAAGCCTAGATCGACATCTCCCTTGAATTTTATTAAACAATATCACTTGATTGCAACTGTCCAAATACTAAATAACGAGTATTTCCCCTCCACCATTTTCATGTCATCTGATTGCTCATTTTCTAAAACAGGAACCTGTAAATATATCTTCTCTCCCACATACTAAACAGAACTCTACCTATATACATCCTAGTCACATTCTATATTACAATGAACCACAAATACCAAGCTTATGCTTCTAAAAATGGATACTAAACCCATCTGAAACAAAAGAAAACAAGAATACAGCTACAAAATCCGCGAAATAAGGAAATTCGCTGCAGTATCAAACAACTGTTTTCCCCAAACAGCAAATCTAGTCGAAGATTGAAATGGAAAACGGGACTATAATTCATCACAACCGATCATTACAATAAATTAAAACCGGTAGGAGGTCGAAGAGCAAAAACCTTTTCGTTGAGTGAACATTTCGATTGCACATAAGCATCGGCATCGAACTTATCGGACTTGAACAGACTCAAACCTTCCTCAACCCTAACGCCGTTCTCCTTCGTCGGAGTGGCTCGTGACCTCGCCGTCTTCGACGCCGACATCTTCCGCCTCGCCGCTCCTCCTCCTCCTAAAATAAAACCCTAGAATTCGCGGGGGCTTCCGATCACCGATTAAAAAAAATACTAACGTAGGCCACTCCGGTGTGAATTCAACACAGATCTGAGGGGAAAATATGAATATGAGATCTGCAGGGAAGAATACGACGAGGAAGAAATCGAAAGCAGCAAGCAAAGGGGAAGAGACAGTGGCGGTGGGTAGAGAGAAATCAGAGTTGGCAAACAGCGAATAAGCCAGCGAAACGAAGGCTTGGATTTTTCGTCAGCTGAATAGATTTTTCTTTATCAGAGATTTTTTCATTTTTGTTTATTGAATAGTTGCGAAATTAAGTGAAGAAACGGAGTTAAAATTTTTTTATAAAAAACGATTCTTTAAGAGAAAAATCTTTTTAAAAAAAATCCAGTAAAATACATGTAATTATCAATTTAATATCTGTATTTTTTTAATTACTGAATAATATATATACAATTGATTTTTCTGAAAACAAATCTCATACTTTTAAAATATTGACAAAAAAATCTTTATCCTCAAATAACCGCCACGTAAACAAATAGAAATCCTACATGACGCCAAAAATTCATAACATCTCTCCTAAACATCGATACGTCATCCCTACATCAGAAATTAAATAAAATTAAATAAAAATAAATTAATTAATTAAATGAAAAAAATAAAAAAATATACATATATATACACATATACATACATACATATATATACATATATATAAATATATACATACACACATATATACATACATATAAATACATATATATATATATATATCAATACATATATATAAACATACATATATACATATACATACATATACATATATATATATACATTCACATATATATACACATATATATAGATATGTATACATATACAATATATACACATACAAATATATACATAAATGTACATATACATATGTATCTAAATATACAAACATACATGTACATATACATATATATACATACATATACATATATACATACATATATATACATATATATATGCACATATATATATGCATATATATACATATATACATACATATAAATACATGCACACATATATATATATGTATTTATATATATGTATATATGTATATATATATATATATGTATGTGTATATTTATATATGTGTATATATGTACATGTATATATGTAGTATGTATATATGTATGTATATGTATATTTTTATTATTTATTTTTATGATTATTTTATTTAATTAATTAATTATTATTATTAATTTATTTATTTTTATTTAATTTTATTTAATTTCTGATGTGGTTATGACATGTCGATGATTAGGAGAGATATTGCGAATTTTTGGCGCTATGTAGGATTTCCGTTTGTCTACGTAGCGGTTATATGACGGTAGAAATTTTTTGGCCAACATTTTAAAAGTATGAGATTTATTTCGGGAAAAATTAATTGTATATGTATTATTCATTAATTAAAAAAGTATATGTATTAAATTGAGATCAGGAAAAAGTACACGTATTTTACGGCGATTCTGCCTTAAAAAAACTTAAAGATATAGCTTATTCCAATTTAAAAGAAAAATTTTTAACCCAACTCCGAACATATTTATTTAAAGTTTTTTTTATTAGTGTTTCATTTTGGTTCGGTTCTTGTAGGAATAAAAAAATACAATATTTTTCCAATTTGAACCGTTCAAAATATCTGAACGGTATTAATTTTAGAAAAATCGAATTTTTAGGAATCGAACCGAATTTTAAAAAAATCCAAAAAACCAAAGTTGTTTGAATAAAATCTATTTTTTTTAATAAAAATCAGAACCGAATCGAACCGAATATAATATAATAACCGATTAATACTTATTTTTGTAAAACCAAAAGAACCGAATCGAACCGAACCATTTTCAACCAAAACCGAATCGGATACCGAAACGTCCACCCTAAATCTACCATTTCATTTGGTAAATTTGTCGATAAATACAAAATTTTGTTGAATAGAGATTTGTACAGTGAGAATTCAGATGAAATTTCATGAGTCGAATGTGTTCAGATTTTTTTGTTACAAATTCAAACTCAAAGTATGAAGAAACAAAAGACTTGATTGGTTTTATGAGATTAAATTTTTTTAAATGGATTAAATCAGTCGTCGTAATAGAAAAAAAAATGCATGAGGTATAGAAGGGATTTCATCCCATTATAAATAAACAAGGGTACAAATTAGGGAAAAAGATATTTCCAATTTATTTGATTTCTTTATTAGATAAGAGGTAAATTGTGTCACGTATTTGCAAAATGTATTCTTTTTTCAATTTTACCGATAATACTTTTTTATGGTATATTTGGTATGACATGATACCACCATATGGTAAGATAAGACGCAAAAGACAGAACATGATGGTATACCAAGGCGTTATCATTGCTAGAATATAAGAATAAAAAGCCAATAAGCCAATGTAGTATATCAATGTAGTATATATATCAATGTAGTATATCAAATGTAGGGGTGGCTTAATTGGATTTCGGTTTGGATATATTTGGATTTGGTTATTTCAGTTTTTTAAAAATTATAACCGTCCAGTTTTTATATTAAATTCGATTCGATTCGATTCAATTATGATAAAAATATTCATTTTTTAAAAAATTTGTTGCTAAATAAATTCATAATATTCCATAGAAACAATACATTAATTGTAGTAAAAGATAAACAGTTTGGATTTTAAGTTCACGCTTCATTAAAAAAAAAATACACAACTTTTACATTATTCATGAGTCGAATGTATAAATATGTAATAACATTATTAAACAAATTAAATATAATTTTGAAAGTTAAATTCAAACATAATCGTATGCTGCTTCACCACAATGAAAACAGGGTGGACCATCGGGCAGATTCGATTTAATCGGGTTCGGTTATTTCGAATTCGAATATTTCAGATTTAAAATATTCTTATCTAATCGAGTATATTTTTTTAATTGGTTTGATTTGGGTTCGGATCAGTTTGGATCGGATTCGGTTCGGGTTATCCAAACAAAAAAAGATAAAAAAAATTCAAACAATTGTCTTATAAAAATAACAAAAACAACATTAAAATACATGCATATTTCTTTTTTTTTTATATACCATGGTTATAAAACAATATCATTATACTAATTTTTCTAATTAGATTTAGAATATACTACATATTAATTGATGATATATGGATGGATAAACGAATATATTCGATTACGGTTAATTCAGATTCGGTTCATTCGGTTTACAGTTATTTCGAGTTTGAATATTTCTGTTTGAAATATTCATATCCAATAATATATATTATTTTAACCGGTTCGGTTATATATCGGTCCAGTTCGGTTCGGTTATTTTGGATTCGGGTATTTTGTTCAGCTCTAATGAAAACCATATCGTATACTCTATAGATTTTAACAATGAGATTCCAGTCATTCTTTGAAATGACATAAGAAAACTAATTCTAACTTACCATAGTAACATTTTTAAATCGAAATGAAATAAAGAAAGTGAGATCTATTATTATTATTTTTAATTTTTAATTTAGTAATGGTGGGATATAAATCATGATAATTTTTTAAAATCAGAGTATTTGGATCCGATCAGTGGCATACCCAAAAAATGTTATAATTGGGGCAGTGCGATAGTATTTTAAATTTTTTATTGGGAGCATTTAACAAATTAAATTAAGTTAACTTGGCTCAACTGATAAGTGGGTATGTAGTAATATACAAAGAGTTCCAGATAATCCCACCTTGACAAATCACATATTCTAAAAAAAAACAAATTTAATTAAAATTTTATTATTTTTTTAAAAAATTAAACATTTTTATTTAAAAAATAGGGCACGTGACCTTATGAATAGGTCCGCCCTGGATCCGATAGTTCAAATAATTAACAATTGTTTTTTTATTATTGAAATAATCTAATCTATTTAAAGAATATTTTTTGCTGTTTGAAAAATGGGCTCACGTGACGAGCCCAAGCTCACTCGCGAGCCCAAACCCTATTTTTTTTTCCTTCCCCTTCACGCGCTTCCTCCAATGCACTCTATTCCTCACACTCTCTTCTCTGATATGAGCCATCCACCACAGAAAGTCAGAAACTTCGTATCTTTCGTTGCGATCTCTTAGCTTTTCTCCGTCGACTCATCGGCCTTTGTAGATTCTCGTCACCTTAAGCTCAGGTACGATTTAGCGATTTATATCCTCTTTGTGAGATTTCGACGATTTCTCTTCTGTTTCTTCGATTTCGATTCTGCTCCTGTTCTGGTTTCTGTTATTCTTCTGTGCTGCTTCTGCGTTTTGCTCCCTCTCTCTCGAGGAACAGAACATGGTCTGCTTATAGTCGATTTCGACAATTTTGTTCCACTTCTACGCCTCTGATTATGTGTCTTCGACGATTTCAACGTGATGGTGGTTCGGTTCGCTTTTACCTAATATTGGTTCAGATTTTTTTTTTTGGTAAGGTGAATATCATATATATGTAAGTTTTTACAAAACCTGCAAAGCAGTACAAACCGGATACAAACCGGATACCATGTCAGAAAACTAGCAGAAAACTAGCAGCAAAATAGTCTGAGTAGATAAACAGAAATCAGTAAAATAAGGGTCCATCGTTCTTCGCCAGGAATGTCTAAGGGGGTCTTGATCGAATACTCGCCGAAAGATAATACCAATCCTGCAATGGTGATGCTGCGGAAGAGTTTGCCGTATGGGGAAGGGAGATCAAGATGTTTCTGATAGTCCGGTCCACCTGCGCAAGTACCGCTGAAGCAGTCTTCGTGTCATTCCCGAATATTCGGGTGTTTCGTTCCTTCCAAATGTGGTAGGCAGTAACCTGTAATATTAGTTTCGCTATAAGAGTTCGGTGGTTTGTCCTCGAGTTAGTTGGCGATGCTATCCAATCAACACAGTCGGCAGCTTGGTACGGTGGTCGTTCCCAGCAGAGGCAGCCAAGCTTTTGCCAGATTTCCGAACTGAAAGTGCACCCAAAGAATAAGTGGGAATGCGTTTCAGGCTCCGCCGAGCAGAGGACACAATTAGGATCTACTTGCACCCCCCATCTCAATAACCTTTCCTTTGTTGGTAACCTGAGCAACATCACTTCCCACAGCAAAAAAGAGAAACGAGGGATAGATTTTTTGAACCAAACAATATCATGCCATGAAACCCCTACTGCTGGTTCGCGGATCTGTGCCCAGGTACTTGAAGATGAAAACCACTGCCTATATGTTCCATTGTGATCCCGCCATAGTGGTACATCTG